TGAACCCTCTGAGTATCGCGGAACTTTGGACTCTTGGACCTTCGGAGTAGTGAACCCTCGGAGTATCGCGGACCTTTGTAGCATTGGACCTTCGGAGTAGTGAACCCTCGGAGTATCGCGGACCTTTGTAGCATTGGACCTTCGGAGTAGTGAACCCTCGGAGTATCGCGGACCTTTGGACTCTTGGACCTTCGGAGTAGTGAACCCTCGGAGTATCGCGGACCTTTGGACTCTTGGACCTTCGGAGTAGTGAACCCTCGGAGTATCGCGGACCTTTGTAGCATTGGACCTTCGGAGTAGTGAACCCTCGGAGTATCGCGGACCTTTGTAGCATTGGACCTTCGGAGTAGTGAACCCTCGGAGTATCGCGGACCTTTGGAGCATTGGACCTTCGGAGTAGTGAACCCTCGGAGTATCGCGGACCTTTGTAGCATTGGACCTTCGGAGTAGTGAACCCTCGGAGTATCGCGGACCTTTGTAGCATTGGACCTTCGGAGTAGTGAACCCTCGGAGTATCGCGGACCTTTGTAGCATTGGACCTTCGGAGTAGTGAACCCTCGGAGTATCGCGGACCTTTGTAGCATTGGACCTTCGGAGTAGTGAACCCTCGGAGTATCGCGGACCTTTGGAGCATTGGACCTTCGGAGTAGTGTTTGTTTGCTCTTTTAAACGTGAATTGATCGTTATTTTTAAGCAATGACTTATAACATGACGTTTTAGAGACAATTATGGGTATAAAGTCTAATTCAGATTCACGTGAAAACGGAAAAAGAGACATTGAATAACAAAATGTTTTTGTTCTTATTATAAACGCTGACCCAATCAATCCAGAATAAATATCAACGTCACTACTCTCTGTCCCGTCCGCACGTTCATTAACGTCACTACTCTCTCTCCCGTCCGCACCTTCATCAACGTCATTACTCTCTCTCTCTCTCTCGTCCGCACCTTCATCAACGTCACTACTCCCTCTCCCGTCCGCACCTTCATCAACGTCACTACCCTCTCTCCCGTCCGCACCTTCATCAACGTCACTACTCTCTCTATCCCGTCCGCACCTTCATCAACGTCACTACACTCTCTCCCGTCCGCACCTTCATCAACGTCACTACTCTCTCTTTCCCATCCGCACCTTCATCAACGTCGCTACTCTCTCTCCCGTCCGCACCTTCATCAACGTCGCTACTCTCTCTCCCGTCCGCACCTTCATCAACGTCACTACCCTCTCACTCCCATCCGCACCTTCATCAACGCCACTATTCTCTCTCTCGTCCGCACGTTCATCAACATCAATACTCTCTCTCTGTCCCGTCCGCACCTTCATCAACGTCACTACACTCTCTCCCGTCCGCACCTTCATCAACGTCATTACTCTCTCTCCCGTCCGCACCTTCATCAACGTCACTACTCTCTCTTCCGTCAGCGCTTTCATCAACCTCACTACCTTCTCTTCCGTCTGCACGTTCATCAACGTCACTACTCTCTCTCCCGTCCACACCTTCATCAACGTCACTTCTCTCTCTCTCCCGTCCGCACCTTCACCAACGTCACTATTCTCTCTCCCGTCCGCACGTTCATCAACGTCACTACACTCTCTCCCGTCCGCACCTTCATCAACGTCATTACTCTCTCTCTCTCCCGTCCGCACCTTCATCAACGTCACTACCCTCTCTCCCGTCCGCACCTTCATCAACGTCACTACTCTCTCTCCCGTCCGCACCTTCATCAACGTCAATACTCTCTCTCTCTCCCGTCCGCACCTTCATCAACGTCACTACACTCTCTCCCGTCCGCACCTTCATCAACGTCATTACTCTCTCTCCCGTCCGCACCTTCATCAACGTCACTACTCTCTCTTCCGTCAGCGCTTTCATCAACCTCACTACCTTCTCTTCCGTCTGCACGTTCATCAACGTCACTACTCTCTCTCCCGTCCACACCTTCATCAACGTCACTTCTCTCTCTCTCCCGTCCGCACCTTCATCAACGTCACTACTCTCTCTCCCATCCGCACCTTCATCAACGCCACTATTCTCTCTCTCGTCCGCACGTTCATCAACATCAATACTCTCTCTCTGTCCCGTCCGCACCTTCATCAACGTCAATATAGTCTCTCCCATCCGCACGTTCATCAAGGTCAATACTGTCTCTCCCGTCCGCACGTTCATCAACGTCATTACTCTCTCTCTCCCGTCCGCACCTTCACCAACGTCACTATTCTCTCTCCCGTCCGCACGTTCATCAACGTCATTACTCTCTCTCTCCCGTCCGCACCTTCATCAACGTCACTACCCTCTCTCCCGTCCGCACCTTCATCAACGTCACTACCCTCTCTCCCGTCCACACCTTCATCAACGTCAATACTCTCTCTCTCCCGTCCGCACCTTCATCAACGTCACTATTATCTCTCCCGTCCGCACCTTCATCAACGTCATTACTCTCTCTCTCCCGTCCGCACCTTCATCAACGTCACTACTCTCTCTCCCGTCAGCGCTTTCATCAACCTCACTACCTTCTCTTCCGTCTGCACGTTCATCAACGTCACTACTCTCTCTCCCGTCCACACCTTCATCAACGTCACTTCTCTCTCTCTCCCGTCCGCACCTTCATCAACGTCACTACTCTCTCTCCCGTCCGCACCTTCATCAACGTCACTATTCTCTCTCCCGTCTGCACATTCATCAACGTCACTACTGTCTCTCCCGTCAGCACGTTCATCAACGTCAATACTATCTCTCTCCCATCTGCATGTTCATCAACGTCAATGCTATCTCCCCCTTCTCCACGTTCATCAACGTAACTATTCTCTCTCCCGTCCGCACCTTCATCAACGTCACTACTCTCTCTCCCGTCAGCACGTTCATCAACCTCACTACCTTCTCTTCCGTCTGCACGTTCATCAACGTCACTACTCTCTCTCCCGTCCACACCTTCATCAACGTCAATACTCTCTCTCTCCCGTCCGCACCTTCATCAACGTCACTATTCTCTCTCCCGTCCGCACCTTCATCAACGTCATTACTCTCTCTCTCCCGTCCGCACCTTCATCAACGTCACTACTCTCTCTCCCGTCAGCGCTTTCATCAACCTCACTACCTTCTCTTCCGTCTGCACGTTCATCAACGTCACTACTCTCTCTCCCGTCCACACCTTCATCAACGTCACTTCTCTCTCTCTCCCGTCCGCACCTTCATCAACGTCACTACTCTCTCTCCCGTCCGCACTTTCATCAACGTCACTATTCTCTCTCCCGTCTGCACATTCATCAACGTCACTACTGTCTCTCCCGTCAGCACGTTCATCAACGTCAATACTATCTCTCTCCCATCTGCATGTTCATCAACGTCAATGCTATCTCCCCCTTCTCCACGTTCATCAACGTAACTATTCTCTCTCCCGTCCGCACCTTCATCAACGTCACTACTCTCTCTCCCGTCAGCACGTTCATCAACCTCACTACCTTCTCTTCCGTCTGCACGTTCATCAACGTCACTACTCTCTCTCCCGTCCACACCTTCATCAACGTCACTTCTCTCTCTCTCCCGTCCGCACGTTCATCAACGTCACTACTCTCTCTCTCTCTCTCGTCCGCACGTTCATCAACGTCAATACTATCTCCCCCTTCTACACGTTCATCAACGTCAATACTGTCTCTCCCTTCCGTACGTTCATCAACGTCACTACCTTCTCTTCCGTCTGCACGTTCATCAACGTCACTGCTCTCTCTCTCTCTCTCTCTCTCTCTCTCTCTCTCTCTCTCTCTCTCTCTCTCTCTCTCTCTCTCTCTCTCTCTCTCTCTCTCTCTCTCTCTCTCTCTCTCTCTCTCTCTCTCTCTCTCTCTCTCTCTCTCTCTCTCTCTCTCTCTCTCTCTCTCTCTCTCTCTCTCTCTCTCTCTCCCGTCAGCACCCGACGACCCAAGACATTTATTTAATTAAGTCACCAATCACATTAAAACGTGCGAAATGGTGTACGAAATAACATCACATGGCAAAATGGACAGATATTCGTGTCAATATCAAGATATGATACTGACAGTATATCAATGACATTTCTTATAGTGCAAGGCCGAGTTTTACTTGAATCTTCTTGAAATACAACTACCACCTATGTATTTATCGATTTCAAGTTTCCTTATCGGATCCATTTACGGTAGGAAATAGACAGCAATACTTGTTATCGAAATGTATTTTGATATTTCTTTAGCGCATTGACTTTTGTCTCCAAGTCCAACAATCCTCCATTAACAAGTATTTGTATAGCTACATTCAAATCGGAACGATAAATTTCGTAATAATTGGCTAGTCTAGTCTATGGTTAAACAGCTACGTCTTTGACAGAGCGGACTCGCTGAAAGTGTCAAAAAGATATGGCTCATAATTTTATTCCAAACATAAATTACGTATTCAAATTAGCAATGTCTTCATAAGTGTATCAGTTAGTTTTTTAAATGAATAACATAAGTAATGGAAATTGTGATAAAGTAAATAAAATAAATTCATATAATGTTCTAAATCCAAATGCATTTAATCATAATTTCTTTTTTAAATGAATTAACACTCGTTCAAAACACACTTACACTATAAAGTTATTTTAGTACTTCTTAATATCGTGAAATTTCGATTGAATTGTGTGTTAGGCCAACAATATGAATACACTTTTATTGAATGCTATGTTTTTTTTCTAGAGTAACGTCCCTTGTTATATATGATTGCGCCAAACATACGACAGCGAACTACTTTCTCAGAAATAAACACCGCAGCAAGGTACCTTGTTTCTGGAGATATGCACACGTTATGACAATGCCAGTATTGTATTCAATTGCTGTTTATGACATAGACAAAAAATAATCATGTTTCCATTGCCATTAAATCATGAAAATAGCACACTCACAGAAAATATTTGCGACATGAACTATATCATAGCGCGGAAGGATAAGAAATGCCGAACATATAAATAGGAAGTGCCCTTCGGATCATTAGTTGTCATTCAGACAGCACTCGAGAAGGACTATTCATATAATGTCCTATAGCTTCAAGTACAGCTACTGTGAAAGGATTGTTTTCTTAAATGTCAGCGAATGTCAGTGCAGCGGTGATGATGGTGGTGGACTCAATACGGGATGAGAGTAACTTTACACTCAATAACAACACATTGGGTGAGTTAAACCGCTCTAATGATGAGTTAGAAACGAGCGAAAACTTTGACAGATGTCCGATTTCCCCGTCGGGGCCCCATTCGATAAGGCATGAGAGCGAGGCCCAAGAAGGGAGTGAATCTGAGAATCAGTACGACGGAAACGGTAAGAAAAAGCGGAGGAGGAGAATGAAAGGTGGGAAACATCATCGAAAATGGAAACCTTACGATAAACTGAGTTGGAATGAAAGGCGAGAGCTGGAGGAAAGAGAGACAATGCGTGCAAACCAGAAGCGTGAGGAGGCGTTTGCACATGGACACCCAGTGGCTCCGTACAATACAACACAGTTCCTAATGGAGGACCACATCAAAAACGAGTCCCTAAATTCGCCAGACGTGCAAGAGGACGAAGAGGAACACTTGAATCGGCACGACTCGAGGGAATCGAGGAGTGGATCACGGTCTAGTGATTATTCGGATGAGACAACTTCGTCAAGTGAAGATGAGGATAATTTTATGGAGAAAGAATTTTCTGAGACTTACAATAATATACACGCTGAAAGACTACAGACAATGAGCAAAGATGAACTTATCAAAGACTATGTCGAGATGGAGGCAAAACTTGAACGTTTAGAGAAAAGATATAAAAATAAACGACGAAAGCGCGAGTCGAAGAACAATAGTTCCGCTTCATTGAGCAGCGAGGGAGAGGAATTCGTAGACCTAGAAGTGGCAAGAAAATTTGAAGATGAAAATAAGTTGTTGAAGGACGAAAATTGTAAGCTGAAAAATGAGTTAACAAAAATGATGAACTAAGTTACATGTATGTGATAATTTAAAAGTCAAATTTAATTGATTTTTAATTTGGATCCGACGGGGATGTCTTTTAAAGATGGAACAGTTTGTACCCAAATACAATGTAGATATTATCTACTATTATGCTTGTTTTACCACTACGAGAAATGGCACTTGTTTTTGTAACATTTGTTGGTTTTTATACAAATTTAATTCTCGCATTTTTGAGAATGTATTGATCATTCATTATTACTTCCTTTTTGGGCATAGTAATATTGAGTTTTGAGGACTGAAGTTAGTCTTTCAGTGATAATGTACGTTAAGGCTTTCAACCTTTGCAGTAATGAGTATGAATTAAGATTAAAAACAATAAATTGTAACATTCAGGGTTGGTCACAACTTGGTAGTACAACTAGCCCAGTAATTTGTTTTTTTAGTAACAGCATTGCAACATTTTTTTTTTTGAAAATCAAAATAATAAATCTACATGGAATAACTAGTAATGAGTACTTATTTTTATTGTCGATACAAATGCAATAAGTATGTATATTGATTGCAGTTTATTGATGAATCCTTTTGTGATGTAATTAAAGTTGCATGGACAGTTTTCATATTGACTAGAATCTAATCCTCGAAAGATCCGAATCGGAAACGGTCACAGCTCACCTATTTGATCCAGATTTCCAAAGAAAGATCTGAATTTTTTTTTTTAAATTACATTTTAATCTAACAATAGGCAAACTACTCGGGCAAGGTGTCAACATGGAATAGAAGCATATTGTTTCTCTTGATTTTTTTTTCTTTTTGTTGTATTGAGTCGTAATAGATAAATCCACCAATCCTTATTTTTTATTTTTTTATTTTAAATATAGACCAATGTAACTTGCAAAGGAAATCTTGTTTTGTTATCCAAGGCCAAACAAAATATATTTCCTTTTTCTGGTAACATGAACTTTCTTAGGGCAATTATCATAGAAGCACTATCGGAGTCAATAGCTCCTTTACAAAGCGTATAAAATTATTTAAATTGTTACCCTACTCTAAATTTTTCTAAGATGTTTCAGGAGACGCATGTAGTTTTTGTCTGGTCCTTTGTACACTGGCAAGGTTGATGTCGTATTGTAAGGGTTACGTATACTCAACTTAACGACTATGTAGTTTTCTAACCCCAAGTTGTAAAAATAATGTGAACTCTTGTTTCTGACTTTCATGAGAGTTGTCCATTTCCAATTTTGTTAAAATTTTGTTTGATCAATTGAAAACACCTGCCAGTAGTTTGAACTGAGCTGCTTTCAAAAAAAAAAAAAATTCTCAAGAAAGTCCTTTGGAGTTTGTCAAAGGAGAGAAAAAAAATTATGGATTAGAAAAGAAATATTTGAATGTAAGTCCATTTTGATAGTGATTATTTACAAATGTAAATCATACTTCGAAAATTTGATCCATGTCTTGGAAAGTCTCATTAGCAGTTTAGAAAAAGAATCCATATTAATTTGTTATGTAATGGTGCTAAATGAAACTTCCATCATTTTCATAACATTTCTAGAGCTCTCTACACTTTTTTTTTAATCGTTGGAATTGATACATGTGAAGATGCTTCTTTGATTTAAATGCAAAAGGGCATTATTTTATATAAATTGTATGTTTTATGAAAAAAATTGTGTGTTCTACTGAAAGTGAGTTTAAATGTGGAGGCTTGTACATGTATGCATCGATGTAAAAAGAATTTTGAAAAGGGAAAGAGTGCATGAACCGTACAGCAAATAAGTGCAGATTTGAAAGTGAAAATATGCTGAATACAAGATTACTTCCCCTATTGGTTGTATAAGAAGCCCTAGAATCTGTGGCATTTTATTAAATATTGACATCCACATGTCATAGTCATAAGACTTTTTTATTAAATTTTTTTTGTTCTCGTTTTCAATAAATTTGTAGGTGAAAATTAATTTAAAAACCCCAGCATATTGTTTACACTTTTTTGTTGTTCAAAGATGTTTATTTTTATACAAATTTTGTTGTTGACGTATTACGACGCACAATTATTTGTGAATACATTCAATGCTACAATGTCTTTCCTTTTTCAAGTCATCATGCAAGTCGTTTCATAGTTCATCAGTTATTTTTAGTTTGTTGGTGCTTCCTGTTCTGTATATTTTGTTCATGTACATTCAATTGTTCATAAAAAGCAGTAATTAATTTTGAAGCATGCTAAATACTCTTGTGTTGATCAAGTTTCTTCAAAATAAACTTTTTTATTTGTTAAAGATGAAACAATGTAGGGCTTTCAGTTGCACAATTTGGCCTGTTGCCTTATATTGGGAAGAAAAATAAAGAGTTTGAAGCATAAATTTTCAGAAATATCCTGAAGATTTCAATAATTGTGTATGCATGGTTTATAGTTTTATTGAAAATTGGGCTCCTGAGAGTAGTCATCGATCCAAGAAAGCCCTAGAAAAGCCCTGCAATGTTCATTGTGCATGTCTGGATTAAAATTATTTTTACTTGAAAATGCAAGCAACATGCAGCATTGCTGTTCCACATCCATGCAGGTAAGTTGTAGAGAATGTTTTTCCATATCGTTCTGTGGTTACAAATGTCTTGTGTATCGGAACAAACATACCAAATCATAGAAACCTTTCAATGGAAATATGTGAGAATCATTTTCTTAACATGTACTAATACCATAACTTAAATGTACAGAAATCTTTTACAGTTTACTTGTAAATGCCCCATGAAATCGTTTACTTTTATTATTAAACCACACTAGCATCTCCATAATTCCATATCCCTGTCAAATCCCTCAAATGTATGCTTCTTTGTAGACACATGCATTTGATACTAGTGCTATTTTAAGAAAGCCACATCTACATTCTGTTCCTCGTAATGTGAACTTGAAGCATTTGTTTGATATGACATATCACTGATGTGTTCTTGCATCCATCAAATATCTTGAGCCCACCACTGCCAAGTATGTCAGGGGAAGTAACTTGTAGTGCTTATGCAAAAGTTATCTTTCCATAATGATAATTTTAAAGTTTCAGAATGTTTAGGTTTGAATTTCTGTTACAATTTTCTCTATGTGCTTGATCAAATTAATTTCATACAATATGACTTCGGATAAAATATGTTTATGGCTATGCATATGTAACATATAGACTTCAATGATCATTGTCTGTGTACATAGCTAATTGTGATTGCAAAACAAAGATTTAATATTTTTGAAAAGCCAAGAGATGTTAAAGTTCCCAATTTATTTTAAAGTACTTTCGTTCATGTTCAAAGCTGTTTGTTTAAACAGTGATTCCCTTTGACAGGTTGAACAAGGTGACTGCATGTCAGTAGTCAAAGCTAGTAGAATTTGAAGATTCACAAACTGCAATGCTGCATCAGGCAAAATATTGCTATCCTTAAACTTTGCTATGAAATGAAGTCATTCAAACCAAGTTGAATGAAGTCTGTTGATTATTGTATATAATATATTCCATATTTGAGTTGAACATTTTTGTTGAGGGTTTTTCTTTCAAATATAATAGAATCTCCTGATATTCACACTAAAATGAGAAGAGACCCTGGCAATGCACATGTAGTAGGAAGGTATATAGAAGAAAGAAATCTACTGCAACAAGATTTATTTTAGAATAATTTGATGCATCCCTTTATAATGAACTGATGCATGTAATATATTGTCTGCTTTGTTCTTGCAAATATTAAAACTTTACTACATTAGGAGATAACATAGAATTTGAAACTAGTTTCTGTGTATTTTTGGAGAATTGACAGGAAGTATATTCTTACATCATGACATGTATAAAGTTACAACTATTTACAATGTTGACAATTTTATTAAATGATAAAAACCATTTCATTTTGTAGTTTTCCTTTTTATTCTTTGCCTACCATCACCAGTATATGGTGGACTAAAGAAAGAAAATAAAGACTGGGATCGGGCCATTTCAAGTGGCTTCCTATTAGTGGTCCTTAAGTAATGTTCAGTATCGCTGAAATGGTCTTTTCCAGACTTTACAAACAAGTTTAATTAGTATAGATCATATTGTGGATGTCATATTTGGAGCACTATTCTGTTTTCAAGACGAGCCAGCGATGATACGTGTTGGAAATGTAAAGAATATAACCGTTATCCTGATAAGGAACACTAAAGCGTCCTCATGAAATAGACATGTATCAGAAGTGATAAACTGAAGATGGTTGCCAATAGCAATTGCAAATAAATACATGATGACTTGTGGATTCCCAACACCCAATTAACCTTAATCTTTGGAGACCGGCATATCAATATATTTTTATCCACAAACATTAATGGATGTCTGGGTTATTCAGGAATTTGTTTTGCTCTTCTGTCTGTCCATTTTCAGGTCGCCTGAGCCGAAGGCTCATGGTGACCTATTGCCATCATGATTTGTCTGTCGTCGTGAACTTTTCACATATTCAACTTCTTCTCGAGAACCACTGAATAGATTTTGACCAAACTTGGCACAAAGCATCCCCATGGGAAGCCGCTTCAAGTTTGCGAAGAAAAAGGGCGTGGCCCCAGGAGGGGGAAGAAGGGGAAACTTGATACGAATGTTCTACACAAGGTCCTGGCAAGTGTTTTAACTTTTTGGGGCGATTCAAAATCCAAGATGGCCACCCTGGCCTCTGTTTGGCTAAGACATTATGGACTTCCTCTCAAGAACCATTGGGTGGGTCATGTTCAAACTTGGTACAGATGTTTTACACATGGTCCTGCACAAATGTTGTTACATTTTTGCAACATTTTAAAATCCCCAGATTATTGACATGTATTCCTCAGGTGACCGTTAAGGCCCCTTGGGCCTCTTGTTTGTGAAGTTTCCTTGTCTATCTGTCCATGCTTAAAAGGCTTCCTTGCGTGTACTAATGGGCCAAGGGACTGAAGTTTTGAATAAATCTTGAGTCTGTCTATTCATGTTTATCAGGTTTCTTTGCGTCCATTTGTCCATCCTTACGAGGTTTCCTAGTGTCTGTCTGTCCATGCTTATGAGGTTTCCTTGTGTCTCTCTGTCCATGCTTGCGAGGTTTCCTTGTGTCTGTCTGTCCATCCTTAGGAGGTTTCCTTGTGTCTGTCCATGCTCATGAGGTTTCCTTGTGTGTCCATGCTTATGAGGTTTCCTTGTGTGTCTGTCCATGCTTATGAGATTACCTTGTGTGTCTGTCTGTCCATGCTTATGAGGTTTCCTTGTGTGTCTGTCCATGCTTATGAGGTTTCCTTGTGTGTCTGTCTGTCCATGCTTATGAGATTACCTTGTGTGTCTGTCTGTCCAATGATATTTCTGAAGCACAGCTTGTTCAGAGACAACTATACCAATTATTTATTCAAAGAGAGTTTTAATGCTTAAAGTAATGCATGGAATACGAAACTTTACAAATAATTGATATTAGTTTGTGCTATATATATGCATTGTTAATGAAATAAATCAATGTACAAAGTCAATTTTGCAGTATAATGAAGATAATAGAAAATTTATTCTGATTGAGGAAGCACGTCAGCATTGCATAGACACATAAAGACCAAATCAATAAATAAGATTAAAAACATCATATTGATGAAATCATTTGTTAATTGGGGTACAGAGTTTCCATTATTTGGGTATAGAGCATTTTTGACTTCAGGAGAGAAGGTACGGGTGATGTTATAAATATGATTTTTCATGACCTTTGGGGAGGGATACTGGAATCTCAGCAGTCAGGTTGCAAATTCAGGACTTGCCAAGTGTATAGCAACATCTTTCCCACATGGTTAAGATACGGTTCTGTTAGAAACAGTATCTGTTTTAAAGACGCCCTTAATTTCTGCATGATCACTAAAACTTCATTCAAGACACAATATACATTGAAAATTACAAACCGCTATGTTTATTGACTAATTTACCTGGTAGCATTATATACAGGTGAATCAAGTGGCCAGAATGAAATCCGCTTAAAATTAATTAATGTTATTCTGAATTTGTACGGTTCTTTTCATTTTACGGTGAACTTCCTCACTGGAAATTCTATTTCCTGGTCCTTGTACATGGTGCTCTGTGACAATGATCTTGTGTCAAAAACACCACAAGAGCTGTTTGCTTTTCTCGGATGGCTCAGCAACATTAATGAATATACTTTATATTGTTAATATTATAACTTGTATTGAATATCTATTACAAACTGCCAAAAAATGAAGTTGACAAATTGCGGGCCACTGAGCAGAGACTTATCGTTAAAACTAAAGACATTAAATACTTCCTACAATACCTCAGGCAATCTACTAGGTGATACAACTCAAATAAATTTGACTTAATTACTTCATAGAATTTTATACACAGCATGTAATATGTTTTAACTAATGCAAGATTGCAGTCCATTGAAAAATTTCTTGATTCACTTTGAAACACAAGACACAAATACTATAACACTCTTTTTCACATTTTACTACTTTCTTATATATGTCAGCCTATGTTAAAATTTCAGTGAAAATGTGAAATATATAAAAACATATCGTGACATCATAAATGGTGTTGTTTCAGATGTCTTGGCACAGGTAGACAAAATCCATCCGAAGTGGAATTCATCGGTGTTCTATGAAAATCAAATACCATATTATTTATAAAGTATTTTCATATGGGTTTGGTGATAGAAAACGTATACTCAGGTCAATGTATTGAAGAATTTATTAGACTTCTTAAATAATTTGAAATATCTATATTTTTGGAAATGGACATCATTTCCAATTTCAGTAATACATGACAATAGAGAATTGAGAAACATTTCATCTCCTATCTATATACAGTATAGATACTATTTAAGATACATAAATACTCACAATGTGAGTCATAAAAATAGAATCACATTAGTTTATTTAAAAAAAAAAAACACAATCAATAGCACTTCCTGATATGCTCGTGGTTATTTCCTGGGCAAATACAGGTAATTCACACTATCCTGAACAATTGTCTGAGAATTTTTCATCATTTTTAGTTTATTTAATGAATTTCTGATGAATATATTGAGTAATTATCAAAACTTACAAAAAAGGTACACTCAATAACAAACCCTCTTTTTCACAGAAACAGTATATTTAGAAAGTACCAGGTATGTTGACAGGGTGTTTGGAGTACATTCTGTAAAGATATTTGAGGTAAAAGTTACTTGCATTACTAAGACAAAGATGAATTTTCCAATATTTTTGTCAGAAGTATGACTGATCAACATGATACACAAGTCAAACGGAGTATATATCTGTATATACAAGATTTTAAGTACTGATTGATCCAAGATTGAAATTTTTCCATAAGTGTCATCTAGCTGGACATGACTTAGTGAAGAAAGCACACAAACTGTCAAATGAGAATTTTGCAAGTTTCATGCAGATTCTGAAAAATGGGGTTACTCGTAACATCCTGTAAAAATCACATATTTTCGTGGGGTTGAATTTTAATGGTTTTTCCAAAAAAAATCATCGATTCCTGATCATTTGTTTTTGTGGATAAATACAGCTCAGCAAATACCCTCAAACTAATTATATCAGTTCATATAACATTTCATGGATATGGAGTGCCCATGAAAACAACGAAAATAAATCTCTCACAACAATTAATGATTTCACAGCAGATGCTTTTAGAAGCAAATTTTTGTCATAAAGAAGTAATATTCTTATATTTTGTAAACACACAAAACATCCAGAGAGGACTGATCTGCCGCCTTATCATGGTGATGTTCACTAATTTAAGTGGACGCCCCTATCTTACAGATGTTTAATCCATGAACGAGATTTGAAATGATAAAGACGTTTCATGACCAGAACCTTTCAGTTTATTATGAATTCTACGGTGAATGTCACAAATTAAGGAATTGCAACACGAAATACGACTATTTGTGTATAGAGAAAACACAGTGACAAATTTGAAATAATATGAAGCAGGGGAGATAACTAAAAAATCTACTCTTCCGAATTTCCAGGATGATATATCAAATTAGAGTTAAAAGTCAGCCTTCAACAAAAAGAGCACTAATCTTTGTATTTGGTGATATCCATCAAATGAATCTACTAGGTCACAAAAAAGCACTATCCTTTGTGTCCTCTTATGTGTCCGTTACACTAGCAACTGCAGGTCAGAGTCCATAAAGAGAAATAAATCAGGCGAAAATTTATAGTCAACCTATCACAATTTCAGTCTTCACATCGTATGTTCCCTATCTCCACTGGGTGTTCTGGGGGTAGGGTGGTTGGCCCTGTTGTTGATTGGGGTATCCGGGGTACTGCTGTTGACCAGGGTACTGCTGTTGTTGGGGGTATGGTGGCTGACCAGGATATTGTTGTTGTTGAGGGTATGGCTGTTGTTGCCCGGGATACTGTGGTTGTTGTTGCCCAGGGTATGGTTGTTGTTGCCCTGGATACGGAGGTGGCTGATACTGCTGTCCCATATAAGGATTATAAGGGTTAAAGCCTGACGGCATGGCCGGCATTGACCTATTCGGGTCTTGTTGTGGTGCTCCACCGTACGCAGGTGCTCCCCAACCTCCAGGCTGATCTAAAAGGTCAAAATCATTAATGATGAAGATAACAGACAAACAAAAAGCTTCTGGTTTTAACAAAATGTAAAAAATCAGAAAATTAACTCCAACCACTTCTTAGATAAAAAAAGTTACAACAACAAAATACAATATAATTATCTAGTTAATTAAAATTGGTATCATTGTCATATGCTACTGGTAACTAGAATACTGTCCTGAAGTAGGGGTGTGTTTGAAGTGACAGGTCTATCTTTCCTGTAGTAGGGGTGTGTTTGAAGTGACAGGTCTATCTTTCCTGTAGTAGGGGTGTGTTTGAAGTGACAGGTCTATCTTTCCTGTAGTAGGGGTGTGTTTGAAGTGACAGGTCTATCTTTCCTGTAGTAGGGGTGTGTTTGAAGTGACAGGTCTATCTTTCCTGTAGTAGGGGTGTGTTTGAAGTGACAGGTCTATCTTTCCTGTAGTAGGGGTGTGTTTGTAGTGACAGGTCTATCTTTCCTGTAGTGGGGGTGTGTTTGTACTGTCCTGTAGTATGGGTGTGTTTGTACTGTCCTATAGTAGGGGTGTGTTTGTACTGTGCTGTAGTAGGGGCGTGTTTGTACTGTCCTGTAGTATGGGTGTGTTTGTACTGTCCTGTAGTAGGGGCGTGTTTGTACTGTCCTGTCCTGTAGTAGGGGCGTGTTTGTACTGTCCTGTAGTAGGGGTGTGTTTGTAGAATCTGGTTTCATAGTTCTGAATCTCCAATCAGCTGACTTACTGTAGTTTTGTGCTGGTGGTTGGGAGGGCGGAGCGGACGGACCACTGGGCTGGGTACCTAGTAAAACAAAAATTTGTTACATACAAGTGTTAAGTTTGGAATTATTCAGAAAATCACAAATACAGTTCAGCTTAAAGAAGGCTGGTGTGTAGGCATTGTGCTTGAAATCATAAATACATCATTTATCTATAGAAAAGATACAGAAAAATAGATAGTATTACATATGAAATTGTCCACATATTTATAAAGACAAAATAAATAGGAAAACATACTGTGCGTAACTTATTCTATCATCAAAGCAGTCTAGTTAGCAAAGACAGCTTAATTTACGACAGCTTTAATTTACGGTCAGTATTGATCTAAATCTTACTGAATTCTTTTTTTTTAAACATCATTTCTAACTGATAAGTTGAGCACAGAAAACTACACTAAAGCACCTGCCTGTTGTTTACTAGTCCAGCTTCAGTTTACTAAAGTGTTTTAACTTTTGTCATCATTACATATTAAGCACATTGTTAATCACACAACTCACGTGAGGTTGATTATTATGAATAGTTACACTTAGCACTAGTAAACACAACTCTATTAAGCAAATACTACAACCCACATGAATGACAAAAAATTATCAACCGAGGTGAAAATCTAAGGAATCAAGTGTTGGGGCACTGGCTGATTTTTCCCACTAAATATTCACTTATTATTGAATAATGGATTTAATCAACATATGTCCCCTGAAAAACAAATTCTGATAGTGTTGATGAGAATAAGACCAATATGGCTCTCGTCTTATTGATAAACATGTAGAAGTTGTCATGTGACCATACCAGTGGGTGCTGTGGCCGGCTGCTGGGTTGATGTTAACGAGGGAGGGGGAGGGCGTGGGGGTGGAACCCGGCTCTTAGATGTTTCTGATTGATAAAAAAGAGAGAAAGAGAAACATAAAGTAAAGCTAGATAATGATAGATTACATAGCAAACCAAACTGTAGTATACAGCACTCTCACCTCCACTTTCCCCCATCAACCAAACTGATATGGCAACACATTTGTCCATTTTTACCTTGAATAATTCTCTCTGAACATTACAGTATTTATTCAATAATAACTCTAGGGAGCCAACATGTTACTTCTTATCAATGTCAGACGGGTGCAAGACAGTGGAATAGATTTAGTCTGTATTTGGCTTATCAGCAAGATGGACTTATAACAGGCATAGACTAATTACCAGACATGGGGTTCTTACCAGACGTGGGGTTATTACCAGACATGGGCTTATTACCAGACATGAGCTAATTACCAGACATGGGCTTATTATCACACAAAGACTTATAACCAGACATGAGCTAATTACCAGACATGGACTTATTACTGGACAAATACTGTAACCAATGATATCTGACAAGGATATGTCAACTAAACGAGTGTTACACTGGAAAGACTGTAACAAAAGTATTAGGGGTGAGGAGGTGAAAGTGCTGTGAAGCAAAATCTTATCTAAATCAAGACAAAGATGTGAATATAGACAAAACCAAAATTAAACATGAGAAATCAACTGAAAAACAACACAGAGAAAAACAAAAATAATTCCTAAAATTACTGAGGAGGCAGAGATCATATCTTTGGATTTTTTTTGTTGCAGTAAAATTTAAAGTGAAGTTTTCATTTTGCAGGGTTCCTTTGCATGTTTCCTAAATATGATGTACCTGGTACATCATGTCATCAAAAACTGTCAACTGTTTATCTGGCCACAAAAATAATCATAAAGGGTGTGTAGGTGTGTAATACCAGTAAATACCTGTAATATATCGCCGGGTTGGATAGATCCTATGTTTTAGATCACACGAGCATTAGACTAGTAAACCAGAAGTTCCTGGTTTGAATCAAGGCAGAGACAGGACAAAAAATGTTTTACAATTGTGCCCATGTAGGACCTCAGAAATACTGTTTAGCATTACTTTCATAAGCCTTGCTATATTCCCTGGAAACTCAAGAAAGAGTCTTTTCCACAATGGGAATATGTAATCCTTGTAAATACTAGCTTCAATAAAATGCTAGACTAGAGGTAACTTCTCTTTAGCTCAATTGGGTGAGCTTAACCTAAAAAATAAAACTGTCACAATGCTGATCTGTGATCTATTTCTCACAGGTTTACCTTTGTCTACAATGTCAGCATTTCTCTCAGTTAAAAATATAATGAAATAAAAACACTTAGAAAGTATATATGTTGTAAAGGTTGATTTATATAACTTTTATATGTACAGTCGAACCTTGTTATCTCTAACTGGTATAACTCAAAGAACCTGTTTAACTCAACGCATTTCACTGGTCCCTTCCTAACTTTAAACAAAACATTCAAATTCACTTAAATATAATACTTGTTTTATCTCGAAGTTTTCCCATGGTCCTGATGAGTTAGCAAGGTTTAAGTATGTCAGGAAAACTTTTATGTAGAGTTTCACATTTGAGTTTCATGGTAAAGTTACACATTTTAGTTTCGTAGTAAAGTTACACCTTTTAGTTTCGTAGTAAAGTTACACCTTTTAGTTTCGTAGTAAAGTTACACATTTTAGTTTCGTGGTAAAGTTACACCTTTTAGTTTGTGGTAAAGTTACACCTTTTAGTTTCATGGTAAAGTTACATATTTTAGTTTCGTAGTAAAGTTACACCTTTTAGTTTCGTAGTAAAGTTACACATTTTAGTTCGTGGTAAAGTTACATCTTTTAGTTTCGTAGTTAAGTTACACCTTTTAGTTTGTGGTAAAGTTACACCTTTTAGTTTCGTGGTAAAGTTACACCTTTTAGTTTCGTGGTAAAGTTACACCTTTTAGTTTCGTAGTAAAGTTACACATTTTAGTTTGTGGTAAAGTTACACCTTTTAGTTTCGTAGTAAAGTTACACCTTTTAGTTTCGTAGTAAAGTTACACCTTTTAGTTTGTGGTAAAGTTACACCTTTTAGTTTCGTGGTAAAGTTACACCTTTTAGTTTCGTGGTAAAGTTACACCTTTTAGTTTCATGGTAAAGTTACACATTTTAGTTTCGTAGTAAAGTTACACCTTTTAGTTTGTGGTAAAGTTACATATTTTAGTTTCGTAGTAAAGTTACACCTTTTAGTTTCATGGTAAAGTTACACCTTTTAGTTTCATGGTAAAGTTACACATTTTAGTTTCGTAGTAAAGTTACACCTTTTAGTTTCGTAGTAAAGTTACACATTTTAGTTTGTGGTAAAGTTACACCTTTTAGTTTCGTGGTAAAGTTACACCTTTTAGTTTCGTGGTAAAGTTACACCCTTTGGTTTCGTGGTAATGTTACATATTTTAGTTTCGTGGTAAAGTTACATATTTTTGTTTCGTGGTAAAGTTACACCTTTTAGTTTCGTGGTAAAGTTACACCCTTTGGTTTCGTGGTAATGTTACATATTTTAGTTTCGTGGTAAAGTTACATATTTTAGTTTCGTGGTAAAGTTACATATTTTTGTTTCGTGGTAAAGTTACACCTTTTAGTTTGTGGTAAAGTTACACCTTTTAGTTTCGTGGTAAAGTTACACCTTTTAGTTTCGTGGTAAAGTTACACCTTTTAGTTTCGTGGTAAAGTTACACATTTTAGTTTGTGGTAAAGTTACACCTTTTAGTTTCGTGGTAAAGTTACACATTTTAGTTTGTGGTAAAGTTACACCTTTTAGTTTGTGGTAAAGTTACACCTTTTAGTTTCGTGGTAAAGTTACACATTTTAGTTTGTGGTAAAGTTACACCTTTTAGTTTCGTGGTAAAGTTACACCCTTTGGTTTCGTGGTAATGTTACATATTTTAGTTTCGTGGTAAAGTTACATATTTTTGTTTCGTGGTAAAGTTACACCTTAAGATATATTAGTGGAGCATTGTTACATGTTAAAGTCTGTAACAGATTATTTAGTTTATGTAATCATGAAGTCTGAGGCAACGAACAGAAAAACTCAATAATTGACTTCTTTATCTAAAACCTATTACATTAATAAACACTGTTTTAGTCAAGCTCATTATCACTGGCTTTTTAATATAATCTTGACACTGATTAATGGTGATTTCTGGCAAAACAACTCATAACACACAGAGGGATGAGCAAGCATGCAAAACGTTACCTCCATAAGGCCCTACAATAGGAGAGGTTTACATCACTTGTTTAGACAGAGAAATCAATGTATAAACATAAACCAGAAATCCACTGAAATTAGGTCAACTTTCAAATACAAGTCTAACCAGTTGTACCAGAATTGTTCAGTTATGAAATAAAGACAGAAATTATTTTGGAAAAGCATTGCTAATGCCTTTCTAGGCCTGTATCAAAAGGTGCAGGTCCCTTCCATTTTGTTCTTGAAATGTTTCGTTTAAAGTGTCAAATAACCGAGCTCGTCCACATGAACAAACATTTCCTGTTTTCTTTCTTAGCTAAGCTTATCAAATACAATATTCAATTTAGGTTTCTCTCATTTATATCTGTCTCATGTCAAACATTTGTAAATTCTTCTGACTATAATGAATTTTGAGTCATTTTTCATTTATGGAATTTTAAATACATGTTTATTTAAGAATATCTCATAAAAGACAATGAATACATGTATAGGTGTAAGCTGGTCACATTTCTTCTCCTAATTTTCAAAAATCTAATAAATCCACAAGTATTTGAGGTAAGACTACAACAGTATCCATTGAGAAATGTTATAGTGATGGTCTCTGTATGTTACTAAGAGCACTGACAAGTGAGAATAAAAATTAGGAATTTCACTATATATATTTATAGGATAGGAAAGTATTAAGTAGATTAAAGCAAGAATTTCCTGTAATTAATGGAATTTCAAATCAGATTATAAACTTTCTTTTTTTTATCAATTTTATTTTCTTTTTTCAATTCTTTTTTTGTTTATTTCATTTGATTTTTTTGGTCTTTTGTTTTGTTGCTCTTGTATTTTTTCTTCAGGATAATGAAAGTATGATTGATATTTCAAATTTCTTGATTATCAGAATGCATTGGAAATATCTTTCTATTGAACAGAATGATAGTTAAGGAACAAAATGATTATATAACTGGTGTCAGAGGTGCTGAGGACAGAAAGCTTGTGCATCCATATAATCTGGGATTTTGCAGCACAGAAAATTCTACATAATTGATACTTGAATTGTGTGTAGGTATGTATGTAAAAAGAAAACTCTAAATGACACATCTATTCAATAGTTAGCAAAGCAAACAAAATGTCACAGTATCATTTCTGTAAGATTTTACAAGAATTTGATGTTGTGATACCAGATGTAATATTGTTTTCATTGGCTATCAATTAGTCTACTAAATTATAAACAACAATCATCTCCTACTCGAGATTAAAGCATTAATATAAATAAAGGTAAACAGATCATTTACAACTATTATATACATCTCCTTCTCAGAAATAAATATCAGACATAACTTAGTAACTATTTCAAGCCAATAGACCAAACCCCAACACGCTGACTAACTCGAGTGTTACCCAATAATTGCCATGAACGGTAACATACCTGTACTGGTTGGCTGTTGATAACTAGGAGCTGCTGGAGCAGCAGCTGATGGTTGTTGGACAATGGACTTTTGTAAGTCTGACATCAGTTCATCTTTTTCTGTCTTCCGCGCGAAACAGAAGTCATGGATCTTACTTTGGAGTTTCACCAGAAGTGGAGTAAGATCATTATAAAACTGTGATTGAAAAGGAAAATGACATGAGCAAGTCAAAGTTTTATGTGAGAATCATACATGACCAATTTATATGTAAACACTAAGATAGTGTTTAGTAATGAATAGAAATAAACACTCGAGTAGATTTTGTATTCAACATATACACACAATAACAGTGTTTATGCAATACAAATAAAAACAAATGTATACCAATTTCATTACTACACTTTATGCTTTATAGAAATATCTCCATGTCATCACACGTGTTGGCTATATATCACTTGTACCTTCGTGCCTTCTTCCAAGTTGCCTTTCAGCTGCATGTACATGTCAAAGCCCGAGGCCAGATCCTTAAGTAGCGCTTCACGCTGAGCGCCTCCCTGACTAGACGCCTTCTCATGACAGAACTGTGTGTTAGCATTCTGAAATATTAAATGTCACTGCTAGAAATTTTAATCAGAATTCTATTGACAAAGTTACTTAATCCTTACATTATTTAATGACTGTGATTTATTTTTGTCAGACACAAAAGGTGAAGACAGGATTTCATTTTCATCACATATAAGTGAACATAAGTGCATATTGCTTTATACCCGTGTTTAACCCCCTAAGACACAAAACTGTATTTTACCTGCTAAAAGACGTACTTGTATTTTACCCTGTAAGACACATACCAGTATTTTACCTGCTAAAAGACGTACTTGTATTTTACCCTGTAAGACACATACCTGTATTTTACCTGCTAAAAGACGTACTTGTATTTTACCCTGTAAGACACATACCTGTATTTTACCTGCTAAAAGACGTACTTGTATTTTACCCTGTAAGACACATACCTGTATTTTACCTGTAAGACACATACCTGTATTTTTCCCAGGAGAAGCTCTTGACTTTGGACACTGTTTGTGACTTGTTCACGTAGTGGACTATAAATCTGGTCCAGCTCGGCGCCAGATAATTCTTCCTCATTAACCAGGCCGTTCGCAGTCATGGCAGCCATAAATTTACCCGCTACAAAACAAAAGCAACACATACATGTTATGCCTTTGTGTTGCCTTTGTACCAAATATAATTAACAAAATTTACCATGAAAATAATACAACAGTAGTATTTCTTGTTCAACAATTTGTCTGGTTTAAAATAAACTCTAAATCATTTGTCTGGTTTACAATTAACTCTAAATCATTTGTCTGGTTTACAATTAACTCTAAATCATTTGTCTGGTTTACAATAAACTCTAAATCATTTGTCTGGTTTACAATTAACTCTAAATCATTTGTCTGGTTTACAATTAACTCTAAATCATTTGTCTGGTTTACAATTAACTCTAAATCATTTGTCTGGTTTACAATAAACTCTAAATCATTTGTCTGGTTTACAATTAACTCTAAATCATTTGTCTGGTTTACAATTAACTCTAAATCATTTGTCTGGTTTACAATAAACTCTAAATCATTTGTCTGGTTTACAATTAACTCTAAATCATTTGTCTGGTTTAAGATCAAAGTAACACTTTAATGACCAAGGTGTCTACAAACGAGTGCAAACCAATGCTAGACTGACAGAGTAGTAGTTTGCATTGTTCTGACTTCTAAGACAAATGCTGAACCAGACGCAAGTTGTTTATTTTAATCACTATATATAGGGTCAGAGTTCTGACGTTCATTGACAAAAGACCAATATAAAAAATGGTGATAGAATGTAACAGTAATTCAGTAACAACCTAAAGACTCCACTGGCAAAGACCAACAAAAAGTCTTACTCATATCAAACGTGGCATCCTTAATTTCTGACTCTATGACATCCCGTTCAGCCTTCATGGTCTCCACTTCCTCCATCATTTGTCGTAAACTGGTGACCGCTGGGCTACTCTGCTGACCACTACCTCCTCCAGATGAAGGAATTGACTTCTCAAGGTCAACCTGTAAATATCATCTATCAATAAGTCTCTTTTCCAGCAAGGTCAGAGCTGTTTTACCTTCACAGGTTAATACCAGGGCCAGTCAGTCCTGGACTAGAGACCAGTCAGTCCTGGACCAGGGCCCAGTCAGTCCTGGACTAGAGACCAGTCAGTCCTGGACCAGGGCCAGTCAGTCCTGGACTAGAGACCAGTCAGTCCTGGACTAGAGACCAGTCAGTCCTGGACCAGGGCCCAGTCAGTCCTGGACTAGAGACCAGTCAGTCCTGGACTAGAGACCAGGCAGTCCTGGACCAGGGCCCAGTCAGTCCTGGACTAGAGACCAGTCAGTCCTGGACCAGGGCCCAGTCAGTCCTGGACTAGAGACCAGTCAGTCCTGGACTAGAGACACCAGTCAGTCCTGGACTAGAGACCAGTCAGTCCTGGACTAGTCAGTCCTGGACCAGGGCCCAGTCAGTCCTGGACCAGGGCCAGTCAGTCCTGGACTAGAGACCAGTCAGTCCTGGACCAGGGACCACTATAAAGGTACCTTTGTTTACAAGAAGCTTCTGTACATTCTAAGGAAAAAAAAAGACATAACAAGCCAGAGGTCTGCCATCTCTGTTAACAATCAATCTCAAATGTTATATATACATTAGTTATCATGAATCAGGAACATACACAAGAGCAACAAAGACATAGTTATCAAGATCCCCCGTCAGTGTTCATTTGTAAAATATATACATTTAAAGTCAGCTACATGGAAAACTGATACCAGCCAATCATGTCACAACAGCCTCAATAAATATGTACAGAATTTGCCGATAATCAAGCTTGGGCAAAGGGTTAAGGTAACAAGTTTACCGAGCAAGTCTCATCATAATTTATTTGTTCCTTCAAAAGATAACATGCGGAAAGCAGTATCCAGACAAACAGACAGAACCCATTTGAATATCCCCCGCCCAATGAAGCTAGTGGGCGATAACAAGAACTGTAAAAGGATTGAATTATTACCTTTACCTGTGGTTTAGATAGTAGAATAATGAACTTAACCTGTGGTTTACGGAGTATAACAATGACTTTTACCTGTGGTTTAGATAGTAGAATAATGAACTTAACCTGTGGTTTAAGGAGTATAACAATGACTTTTACCTGTGGTTCAGAGAGTAAAAAGGTGATTTTAACCTGTGGTTTACGGAGTATAACAATGACTTTTACCTGTGGTTCAGAGAGTAAAAAGGTGATTTTAGCCTGTGGTTTAGGGAGTATAACAATGACTTTTACCTGTGGTTCAGAGAGTAAAAAGGTGATTTTAGCCTGTGGTTTAGGGAGTATAACAATGACTTTTACCTGTGGTTCAGAGAGTAAAAAGGTGATTTTAACCTGTGGTTTAGGGAGTATAACAATGACTTTTACCTGTGGTTCAGAGAGTGAAAAGGTGATTTTAACCTGTGGTTTAGGGAGTATAACAATGACTTTTACCTGTGGTTCAGAGAGTAAAAAGGTGAACTTAACCTGTGGTTTAGGGAGTAAAAAGATGAACTTAACCTGTGGTTTAGGGAGTAAAAAGATGAACTTAACCTGTTGTTTAGGGAGTAAAAAGATGAACTTAACCTGTTGTTTAGGGAGTAAAAAGATGGTTTTAACATGTGGTTTAGAGAGTAAAAAGATTAACTTAAACCTGTGGTTCAGGGAGTAAAAAGATGAACTTAAACCTGTGGTTCAGGGAGTAAAAAGATGAACTTAAACCTGTGGTTCAGGGAGTAAAAAGATGAACTTAAACCTGTGGTTCAGGGAGTAAAAAGATTAACTTAAACCTGTGGTTCAGGGAGTAAAAAGATTAACTTAAACCTGTGGTTCAGGGAGTAAAAAGATTATTTTAACCTGTGGTTCAGAGAGTATAATAATGACTTTTACCTCTGGTTTAAAGAGTAAAACAATGAACTTAATCTGTGGTTTAGAGAGTATCATAATGATTTTACCTGTGGTTTAGAGAGTATAGCAATGGCCTCTTTGTGTTTAGCATATTTCTCCTGTACTATACGGTCAGCACCAATAGCTGCATCAAGGATACTCTTGTATTTTGTACATTCTTCCTTCAGCGTCTTGGTAAGTTTCTCTGATGGTGTACGAGACCATCGTTCCTTGAATTGTTCGCGCAACTTGGTGTCTGATGTCTCTTCTTCTTCTAGCTCTCGTGTAGCCTATCAACATACAGATGTAACAGATTCTGTGATTGGATAGAAAGGTTTATAAATGTAATAAGATTAACATAGATCACACAAGATTCAACTGACAAGTAATACCAAGTGTGATATAGTCACTGCACTGTTAAGTGTTTGGAGAAGTCTCCAATCTTACTTCATCCAGGATTTCTCACTGTAAGAGTTTGTGTAAGTCTTTAATCTAACCTCATCCAGGATTTCTCACTGTTAAGTGTTTGGAGAAGTCTCCAATCTTACCTCATCCAGGATATCTCACTGTAAGAGTTTGGAGAAGTCTCCAATCTAACCTCATCCAGGATTTCTCACTGTAAGTGTTTGGAGAAGTCTCCAATCTTACCTCATCCAGGATATCTAGGTTACGCTGTAAGAGTTTGGGTAAGTCTTTAATCTTACCTCATCCAGGATTTCTCGGTTAGGCTGTAAGAATTCTGGGAAATCTTTAATCTAACCTCATCCAGGATTTCTCACTGTAAATGTTTAGAGAAGTCTCCAATCTTACCTCATCCAGGATTTCTCACTGTAAGAGTTTGGAGAAGTCTCCAATCTTACCTCATCCAGGATTTCTCACTGTTAAGTGTTTGGAGAAGTCTCCAATCTTACTTCATCCAGGATATCTCACTGTAAGAGTTTGGAGAAGTCTCCAATCTTACTTCATCCAGGATTTCTCACTGTTAAGTGTTTGGAGAAGTCTCCAATCTTACCTCATCCAGGATATCTCACTGTAAGAGTTTGGAGAAGTCTCCAATCTTACCTCATCCAGGATATCTCACTGTAAGAGTTTGGAGAAGTCTCCAATATTACCTCATCCAGGATTTCTCACTGTAAGAGTTTGGAGAAGTCTCCAATCTTACCTCATCCAGGATTTCTCACTGTAAGTGTTTGGAGAAGTCTCCAATCTTACCTCATCCAGGATTTCTCACTGTAAGAGTTTGGAGAAGTCTCCAATCTTACCTCATCCAGGATTTCTCACTGTAAGAGTTTGGAGAAGTCTCCAATCTTACTTCATCCAGGATTTCTCACTGTTAAGTGTTTGGAGAAGTCTCCAATCTTACCTCATCCAGGATATCTCACTGTAAGAGTTTGGAGAAGTCTCCAATCTTACCTCATCCAGGATTTCTCACTGTTAAGTGTTTGGAGAAGTCTCCAATCTTACCTCATCCAGGATTTCTCACTGTTAAGTGTTTGGAGAAGTCTCCAATCTTACCTCATCCAGGATTTCTCACTGTTAAGTGTCTGGAGAAGTCTCCAATCTTACCTCATCCAGGATTTCTCACTGTAAGAGTTTGGAGAAGTCTCCAATCTTACCTCATCCAGGATTTCTCACTGTAAGTGTTTAGAGAAGTCTCCAATCTTACTTCATCCAGGATATCTCACTGTAAGTGTTTGGAGAAGTCTCCAATCTTACTTCATCCAGGATTTCTCACTGTTAAGTGTTTGGAGAAGTCTCCAATCTTACCTCATCCAGGATATCTCACTGTAAGAGTTTGGAGAAGTCTCCAATCTTACCTCATCCAGGATTTCTCACTGTAAGAGTTTGGAGAAGTCTCCAATCTTACTTCATCCAGGATATCTCACTGTAAGAGTTTGGAGAAGTCTCCAATCTTACTTCATCCAGGATTTCTCACTGTTAAGTGTTTGGAGAAGTCTCCAATCTTACCTCATCCAGGATTTCTCACTGTTAAGTGTCTGGAGAAGTCTCCAATCTTACCTCATCCAGGATTTCTCACTGTAAGAGTTTGTGTAAGTCTTTAATCTAACCTCATCCAGGATTTCTCACTGTTAAGTGTTTGGAGAAGTCTCCAATCTTACCTCATCCAGGATATCTCACTGTAAGAGTTTGGAGAAGTCTCCAATCTAACCTCATCCAGGATTTCTCACTGTAAGTGTTTGGAGAAGTCTCCAATCTTACCTCATCCAGGATATCTAGGTTACGCTGTAAGAGTTTGGGTAAGTCTTTAATCTTACCTCGACCAGGATTTCTCGGTTACGCTGTATGAGTTTGGGTAAGTCTTTAATCTTACCTCGTCCAGGATTTCTCGGTTACGCTGTAAGAGCTCTGGGAGGTCCCTCATCAGCTTGTCTATATACTGCATGCCTCCTTCTTGTTTTATCTGAGCAGCCTTGTCAAGGACAGACTGTGGAACCTTGTTTCCAGACAGGTCCTCAATGGCTGCAGGCAGGTTTAAGGATGCTAGCACACTGTTAAAAAATAACAACAAATTGAGGAAGTGTGTAACTGGTTTTTTTTGTGTTTTTTTCCTCAATTTTTCACAAATCAAACAAAAATGGATTGTATCGACCTATGTATGTTTTAATTAGAAAATACTGTGATAGTAGCAGTCAAGGAAAAGTCAGAACTAAGAAAGTCTAGAGTAGACAATAATGCTCCTGCTCCTATACAAACCAGAATACAACTTTATGATAACTATTGGTAAATATGAACCAAATCTGTTGAGATGTTCTTGAGATTTGACTTTAGATCTGTGTGAGAGACACTCTGTCAACATTTCATGACTTGATTGTAAATTGTAACTAGGAATTTTGCCTTCCTAAAAATTGTCACTGGTTCACCATTGGCCATCAAAATATCCCATGGAAACTTGCAATTCAGGTGTATTTTTTTCTGGGACGTTTTGATAAACATCACACAAAGTTAGAGTGGCACCTGTATCAACGATCAGCCATCAAACCAATCCCTTCTGTATTGACATACGTCCCTGATTCTTCTGAATTGACACACATCCCTGATTCTTCTGTATTGACACACATCCCTGATTCTTCTGTATTGACATACATCCCTGATTCTTCTGTTTAGACATACGTCCCTGTTTCATCTGTATTGACACACATCCCTGATTCTTCTGTATTGACACTTCTGTATTGACATACATCCCTGATTCTTCTGTATTGACACACATCCCTGATTCTTCTGTATTGACACACATCCCTGATTCTTCTGTATTGACATACGTCCCTGATTCTTCTGTATTGACACACATCCCTGATTCTTCTGTATTGACATACGTCCCTGATTCTTCTGTATTGACACACATCCCTGATTCTTCTGTATTGACACTTCTGTATTGACACACATCCCTGATTCTTCTGTATTGACAAACATCCCTGATTCTTCTGTATTGACACACATCCCTGATTCTTCTGTATTGACATACATCCCTGATTCTTCTGTATTGACATACATCCCTGATTCTTCTGTATTGACATACATCCCTGATTCTTCTGTATTGACACACATCCCTGATTCTTCTGTATTGACACACATCCCTGATTCTTCTGTATTGACATACATCCCTGATTCTTCTGTATTGACATACATCCCTGATTCTTCTGTATTGACACACATCCCTGATTCTTCTGTATTGACATACATCCCTGATTCTTCAGTATTGACATACATCCCTGATTCTTCTGTATTGACACACATCCCTGATTCTTCTGTATTGACACACATCCCTGATTCTTCTGTATTGACATACATCCCTGATTCTTCAGTATTGACAGACATCCCTGATTCTTCTGTATTGACACACATCCCTGATTCTTCTGTATTGACACACATCCCTGATTCTTCTGTATTGACATACATCCCTGATTCTTCTGTATTGACACACATCCCTGATTCTTCTGTATTGACACTTCTGTATTGACATACATCCCTGATTCTTCTGTATTGACACACATCCCTGATTCTTCTGTATTGACACTTCTGTATTGACACACATCCCTGATTCTTCTGTATTGACACACATCCCTGATTCTTCTGTATTGACATACATCCCTGATTCTTCTGTATTGACACACATCCCTGATTCTTCTGTATTGACACTTCTGTATTGACATACATCCCTGATTCTTCTGTATTGACACACATCCCTGATTCTTCTGTATTGACACTTCTGTATTGACACACATCCCTGATTCTTCTGTATTGACACACATCCCTGATTCTTCTGTATTGACATACATCCCTGATTCTTCTGTATTGACATACATCCCTGATTCTTCTGTATTGACACACATCCCTGATTCTTCTGTATTGACACACATCCCTGATTCTTCTGTATTGACACACATCCCTGATTCTTCTGTATTGACACACATCCCTGATTCTTCTGTATTGACATACATCCCTGATTCTTCTGTATTGACACACATCCCTGATTCTTCTGTATTGACACACATCCCTGATTCTTCAGTATTGACATACATCCCTGATTCTTCAGTATTGACACACATCCCTGATTCTTCTGTATTGACACACATCCCTGATTCTTCAGTATTGACATACATCCCTGATTCTATTTAGTGATACCATGCACCCATGTTACCTTTCCTGGCATTATGTTCGGCATTCACACTGTGCCTTTTAGGACAATAACATTTGTAATACTCCGGTTCCCCACAGAAATAACAGTTTCGTTCCCCAATTCTGCCTTGTTGCTGTCACATGCCGTTTCTATGTATATATAGTAAATCATTATTTTATGCCGATAAATGGTTTATGTTAGCCCTAGAGTTTCAAATTAGCGCGCCTTTTCTTACCCGTCGAGCTGTACGGGGCGTACGTGCGCAGGTGCGACAGGTGAGAATAATACAGGTAAATAAGCACGCTTAGCGGGTGGAAAGACGTGGCTCACTACGACGCCTAAAATACAGATTGGGGTGAGTATTTTTAATGTGATTCATCCAAATATCACCTCATAACCTTATCACTAGTATTTGGATAGGTTTTTGTCTGTTTGAATGAGATTTTGAGTTTGAAAGGGTCGTTAAATGCCACCGCTATTGTTATGGGTGACCGGGTACTACTGGCGCTCGTGCAGTTCTTTGTTTAGTAAAAGCGTGTATGTTAACGAATTTCACTAGAGTTGTATATGTATTTAATGTGTGGTTGGTAATAATAAGTAATATTAAAATAGTTTATTATACAATAAGGGTAAATTACAATTCCTATATTGTTGTAGCTTGTTGGGCCAACACCGTAGCGATAGCTGACACTGAAAACCCACTCGTTGTGTGTATGGAAGCCCTGAGGCGGGGTCAAGTATTGGTCAGTACCAAATACCCAGCGTATATGTGCCTTGAACTTCACCCTTAGTAATATGGAAGGGTTGGATATACTGAATGGTATATGATGTATCCATTTGTCTCGTGATATGAATCGACGACGTCAATTATTTGTATAGAGATGTATGGCGTCAGCGTCCTGGGAACGTCATCGCCGACGTGGGAACACAGTTCCACATGATGTCTTCTCTGGGGTCGATTGTGATGATCTGTTGATACCTGTTACTTGGCTTTGGATGTGTGGTCTATGTTCTTACGACCAGGTGTACTCAAGGATTCTGGGAATATTGCTTGGCTGTGACAGTTACTTATATCTGGAACAATTGGTTGACGTCGGACGACAGCGACGTTGTGGAGTACTCTATGGTGGCCTGACAGTGACTTTTAGGTTACTTAGTGTTGTTGTAGTTTGGTAGTCATTTATGAGTATGTAATTATGTATGCATGAGAGTGAAATGCGTATGTGGTGATATGACTAACAATGTGAGGATCATGTTTGTAAATAAATGTCCGGAAATATTATTGTAGGAAAACTGTAAATAAATCTTGTGAATACTGTAGTCTGTCTTCTCGTGTGAATGTCAACAATCCCGCTCAGAGTTACGTTACAGTTGCCTCTTAAGAGACCTTACTCCTTTACGAATTCCTTTACCATACATTGTAGCATGGCTATTATATCAGGTTTAGTAGAACACCCTGGTGTGTGACTTATAATCCAGACCACATTTTTCTGCGTTTTTGAGAGCTTCTAATTCAACGGACGCCTGGACAGCCTCATTTAACTCAGCTGGTCTGCTTGCCTGGACTATTATTCATAACCTGGATCTTGGTAACATGTCTATGAAAAAATCTTTTACCAAGATTTGCTAAATTTCTGAGGTCACACTGTGATCCGCCAACAGAGTAAGCCTCAGAATGCCCTTCACTAACTCAGGTAAACTTTCACAGAGTTTTCCACAACGACTCTTAAGCTGAATATAGTATAATTCAGTCTGATTTGTCAGAGAGAATCACTGTTGTAAGGCCCTGAATAACGAATGATTCTCTTATCTTTCGATATTTTCATGTTCCCAAGAGCATGCCTTAGGCTAATCCATGTGAATTCAACGCTTAATACATTCCCTTTTCCTGATAGGGAACATTTGTTAATCTCGGCGCACATGTCCGGTACTTGTAGACTTTCTATCATCCATAACAAATGATCTTTTATTTGCTGGAGTGGCATCTCCTTCTACCCATCTGTTTTGGCGTCCATTCTTTACCGTGCCTTACTTTTCAGAAACTGTGCAGACTGTTATGATCCACCTCCAACCATGGATAACCCACTATTCTGAGACTTGTGGCCAAGCCAATTGCCACATTCCTGCCATATTTCCAGTGCTGCCAATGTCCCACCACACTTATATTCCTAAGGGCAGGCGCCATTTGATTTGCCAGCATAATGCAGGCCTTCTCTCACAAATCTGCATTTCCTCTTCCACTGGAGTCGTTGTATGCTTCTTATTCCCTCTGCCACCACCATGTAGGCTTTCAATGTCCAACTCTATCTTATCCATCCTCTTGTATAAGTTTTTTATCTTGGATAATGCCAGATAAAACTCAGTAACACCGCTGCCAACATAATTATAAAGGACAATCTCCTCTTTTCCATAGTCTATTGTCAGGTTTGCTGTCACTCTCAAGACATCTCCCTGCCAAGTCGGCATACTTAGTAGTTGCAGCTAACAAAAACAGGTGGGATTTAATTACGTTAACAAACAGGACACGACATGAAACAAACTACCTCACCACTGGGAACACGCCTGTGAGAGGGACTTAGACTAAAATGTCTCGGCACTATCTGGTCTTGTTGGCGAACAACTACAGGTAACGTTAATATAAACAACTACGGAATCATTTCTTGGCATATTATGCAAAGGCAATGGACGTAAGTATTAATTTATGGAGAGACACATAATATCACAAAACACATTAAACACCATATCATGTTCCAAAATAATTCAAGGACATACCAAACTCTCTTTCCTACCTGTTCATTAGCTGGGTACTTTCTCGTAGCCTGCCAATCTCTGTGTTGACTATTTGTCCCTTCCTGTTATCAAATGCTGTCATAGCCTCAAACACAGGTATGGGTACCAGCTTACTAAATAAATCTGTTGACAAGAAAAATGATAATTAACTCCATACCACATGTTCCATCCCAATCCATACTGAATGTACTTAGTCTCGCCCCCAGGCAAGTGTAACAAAAATGGCAGCACCCATGTGCTTTCCTGGCATGCTGTATTTAACAGGTCGGTGTCAAGACTAATGCCTTTTGGGATTCCTCCTTAGGACTCATTTATATTGAGCGTTTTGATTGAATTAGTGATACTACTTGTCGTGACACAGAATTGTTATTATACGGAAATTCATTAAACGTATTTCAAGGTTGTATCGAGAATCTGCTGTCTTTCGGGTTAAACTTTCTTTCTATATTAGAATGTACCCTGAACTGACATTATATAGGACATCAAACGGCAATGTCATAACCATCCAGTATTAATCAATATATTAGGATGTATTAGGATAAATTATGGACGCAGGCTTTTTTTAAAAAAAAACCTCTATATCCATATCAAATATAAACATATGAAAACAAAAGTAATAACAGTTCGGTGTAATGGCTTAAGCAAAGTTTGTGATTCATGAATTATGATAGAAACGTTTATCTTTCCAGTGTTCATCAAGCAGCTTCCCAAATTCTTTAGTACAATGTTTTTTTTATTTTGAATTTAAATTCAAAATGGCAATATATATCCAGTTGCTGCATTTGAAAATTGTGCTGTTGTTTTTGAATTCCTAGATAACATTTTAATAGATGATCTATTGGTAATATGTTCATCATCTGTTTATTTATGAATTATAGATATTTACATAACATCAATATAGTTTGTTGGCTAGAGTTGACTACAAGGAGGGAGCTCATAATTAACTATAGACAACAATGGGAAAGAGAAAGCACATTTTTCTGTCGACTACATTCAACAACTGTACAGAAAAAAATCAACAGCATGGAAGTCTCAAATATGATAAAACTCCACAAGCTAAACTTAGAGTTTTATAATCTAGCCACTTTCATTCAAACTGAAAAAGGACTGCATCTTCAAAAAGGCTTAATATGGAAGAAACTTTGTATGCTGTCAAATATATATTTTTGGGGAATAAACTCCTGATTTTTCAGAAAAAAAAAGTTATTTCCTAGACTTTCAATTTCATTGATGAATTTAACCGAGGAAATATATCAATACTACAGTTTGTGGACATGACATAGGGTCACCCTGAAATCAACAGAAATAAATCCTTCACATCAATTAAACATTTTATAGCAGAAACTCTTCATAAATCTAAAAAAAATTGCATCTGATTTGTTCATGGAGTAAACAGAGACAATTGTAATTTATAATTACTGACCATTTTAGCATCTATATTTAGTATCCAATGAGAAGTAAACAGAGACAATTGTAATTTATAATTACTGACCATTTTAGGATCTATATTTAGTATCCAATGAGAAGTAAACAGAGACAATTGTAACTTATAATTACTGACCATTTTAGGATCTATATTTAGTATCCAATGAGAAGTAAACAGAGACAATTGTAACTTATAATTACTGACCATTTTAGCATCTATATTTAGTATCCAATGAGAAGTAAACAGAGACAATTGTAATTTATAATTACTGACCATTTTAGGATCTATATTTAGTATCCAATGAGAAGTAAACAGAGACAATTGTAACTTATAATTACTGACCATTTTAGCATCTATATTTAGTATCCAATGAGAAGTAAACAGAGACAATTGTAATTTATAATTACTGACCATTTTAGCATCTATATTTACTGACCAGTAAATCTTTCACTCATTGGTTTGCTGGTGAGAGGGATAGGCTTTGCAATGACTGCCTTGCCAATGCTGGGTAGAGACTTCACATCAGGCACCTGATCATGATAGATAAAGTCATTATCTTTCTTGGCTGCCTGCAGGTCTCGCTTGACACGAGCCAGCTCGTTCTTAAAGCAGAATACACTCCCTCCTCTCGTCATGGATGCACTTAAAAGTTCATTAGCATGCTGTGAAGTGAAGAAATAAAACAAGATACAGAATTCATCACAGAAACATAGTTTACATTACCTGGCCTAAAATGGATCACAACAGAACAGTTGGTTACACTGATTGGTCAATGTTGATTACTTTTGTGTGGACTGTAGTGGTCTGACCTACCTTAACACTGACTTGTGGTCTGACCTATCTTACCACTGACCAGTGGTCTGACCTATCTGAACACTGACCAGTGGTCTGAGCTATCTAAACACTGACAATTGGTCTGACCTATCTTAACACTGACTTGTGGTCTGAGCTATCTTAACACTGACCAGTGGTCTGAGCTATCTTAACACTGACCAGTGGTCTGACCTATCTTAACACTGACTAGTGGTGGTCTTATCTATCTTAACACTGACCAGTGGTCTGATCTATCTTAACACTGACCAGTGGTCTGACCTACCTTAACACTGACCAGTGGTCTGACCTATGTTAACACTGGCCAGTGGTCTGACCTATGTTAACACTGACCAGTGGTCTGACCTATGTTAACACTGACCAGTGGTCTGACCTATGTTAACACTGACAATTGGTCTGACCTATCTTAACACTGACCAGGGGTCTGACCTATCTTACCACTGGCTAGTGGTCTGACCTATCTTAACACTGACCTGAAGCCTGCTAATTTGTTCACCGTAACATTTCTTCTCAGCGGCCACACAGCTCTGATAATACTCTGCCATTGCATGAAACGCTGCCTGTTTCATCACTGTTGTCGCCACCCAGTCCTACACATCAACAAATACAACATATGATACAAATCTATAGACAACATGAATGTCAATTTATAATGCATGATACAGGCATTAAGAACAAAATAAATACTTGTTAAACACAAATTTAAAAATATTTGACTTTGATACACAGTTATTGCAATCAAACTTTATAATGACGTATTCTAGTATTGACCAGTCTGTCAATCTACCACTGAAACTGTTGGAGACAAATCTGTTAATAACCATGATATAATTCTGGTACTTTTATATTTATTTTCCAGCCAGTGCTGAATAGTGAAAAGATTTTTATGGAGACTTTGCATTGTCAAAGAGTAAACTTGTCACTACCAAAAGTAGACAAGACACTTCAATGATATGGCACAGATACAATTTATTGAATTTTTCAGAGGAAATGGTTTCTTTTTTCATGAATATATATAAAAAAACAACAATTATCTACATAATGTGTTAAAATAAAATTGTAGCATTAAATCTCTTATCCTTGTTTGGGATAAAACAGTATTTTTTAAATCAAATCCTGAAATTTTAAGCAAGCATTACAATACAATTTTTAGGGAAGGTTAATGTGACCTTAAACAGCTAAATAAAACACCAATAATAAGATAAAGATTTTCGTTTCAATCAATAATCTTATGACAACAAGTAATACTGTAGCTGTAGAAGGGAGATAACTCACCTTAGGCCAGAGGTCTCGAAGTGATTGTAGTTGCATGAGTTTCATGGCATCAGCAAAAAGGTCAGACAATTGAAATGCTATCTTAGCCACCATGGAATCTTTCATTTTGTCTGAAACAGAGAATATTACATATTGAAGTAGTTATAGAAAAAAACACCCACCAGGAAAAGCTAGTATTATAGACACTGATGAGAATGTCTAAGACAATGACCAAGAGGACAAAAAAAGAATTAAAAAAATATAGTAATAATGATTAGTTATTGAAGCCAGACTTCTCTAAACTTCTCCAGCAATGAAAAGTTTTTGCAAACATTTAATGAAAATTTTAATTCCCCAATTCTCTTTTTTTTCAATTTAATACTGAAATTCTCATAAAGCCAACAGGCTTTCTTCTGTGTTAATAATGCTTGTGTACAAACATTCCATTTTTTACTTATTTCTATCTTATTTTGAAAACTAAAATTCTAAAAAAGACTTTAATCAGCTAAAAGGCTTTCTCCTCTGTGAATGAATATACTAGTACACAATCCATGGAAGATGGGTTCACCTGATGCAGCTTTCCTGTAGATGGCTTCCTGGGCCTGCGCCAACATGAGAGCCACAAGGGCATTGAGCGTGTCCGGATTCAGGTCAGGGGTTGGATCCTGTTGTACGTGGGACAGCACCACATCCTTCATGTGACCATAGATCCCAGCAGCTTGCTACAAGGTCAAGGACACAGTTCAATTATCAAGGTCAAGATCACGCCCTAAGTGAAAGCTCAGATCATACCTCCACTAGTGTTTAAAGACTCTCATTCTATTTGTGATTTTCAATCTTTTTGATTAAAATCAGTAAAGCATGCCTGGACTTCTATCAAATTATCTAGTGAGGATTTTGAGAAATTTCACTATAGGCATACCTAAACAGTAGGTTGAAATTGCAACCTGATTAATACAGAGGTTGTGGTGACATTTGATGCTAGATCAATGTAGAACTCTAAGTATTGTGGTAGTGTTTGAGAATTTAAAGGTGAATTTCAATGGATTTGAATGGATTCACTTATGGTCCAAACAGTGTAGATTGTAATATAATGAATATATTCCCAACATCTAACACACAGATTTTTATTTGTTAGCACGACTATGTAAGAATCAACCCAGATATTTTCATTGTTTTAATCAACAGCATCTAAACACCTGCAATGTAAATAACATCAGGAAAACAGAATGAAGATTTCTATTTATGAATTTTAATTGTTTTTGAAAAATTCATTGTCTGCTAATGAATATTCTAGTAACATCAAAGATATGACCACTGTTGTAAAAATATCTCCCAACAAATGAAGTCTAGAATTCCACAATTAACAAAAATTTTATCAATTAGAATTTCTGGTTTAGATGAGATCGCAATAACTGTAAGTTTTTATTATACTTGCCTGGAAATATTTGGCAGAGCTTTTAAGACCCTCGTCACTATCATGGTTCTGTACTTCAGCAATCTGAGTCTGTAAGGCCGCAATGTTGAACAACATACACACCTTCTCATAACTGCCCGATGCAATGGCTACATTAAAGGGTAAATTTTAAGAAAATTACAATTTATAACTAAAAAAATGTACAATTTCCTTAGAAAATTTAAATAGTTCGACAACCATAACTAGGTCAAAGAAATTACAATGAATTTATCCAATGAAATTAATTTCAAATTAATCCTTTATGTAGAATAGACAAACTTGAAAGTTAATTGATTGATATCTATTTTATTTATATAACAATTTTACATCCACTATTATGGCCTTTCAGTCTTACAGCGGACAAATCTGATATTGATAATCATTTAGTCAATAGTCATGTACTAGTCTGTGATAAATCACACCAATGAGTCATTTTACCTTTAACTTACTGCTACATTACTATAAATGGTACTTTTATTAGGAGTTATTTGTAATACAGATCACAGAATTGGAAATGTTTTGTATGTTATTTTCAAAATGCCATACCCAAAATTCTTTTCCCTGAAAACAAGGACTCCTTGTCAAACGCATCTCTCCATTTAAACTGTACTCGAATCTGAAACCATAATAAGGAAGTAAAAAAGATGATGATAAAAATTATCAGTATCAGGTGTTGGAAATGATAATGTTCGCATATCTAAACAACAACTGATTGCACAATATGAACACTAACAAGATAAGATAAATATGACCTCAAAATTCTGGTCATAGTGCTTGACCTTTGAGGGTATGTGTGCAGTTGAAATGGTAATTTGAAATAACCAAATGCAGAGGTTTTTTTTTCACCAACAGAGTTTGTGGTCATTATCTATTTCAACCAGGAAGCTGACATGTTACATTCTATATGCCAGAATGCAGATATCTGTATGCAAAACTCATCAACATCTTATTATAATGAATATGAATACTGGTTTGCATATATCGGTTTACCTGATTTTCTGCAATGGGTAATTTATCTTCAATGGCAACAAGTTGATCATAATACCTGCAGAAAAAATAGAATTCTATACATTTGTGTTTTGTGTTGGTAGTATTTGCCTCAAGCTGTTTAAATAAATAAAAAGTAAATATTGCCAGATGTCTGAAGCTTAAAGCTGACGACAATATGAAGTTGGTCTTTTCACCACAGAGAGATTATAAACCTCAAAAATTTGAAAGTTATCTAATTTAGGATAAAAGTGTCATCTTAAATTTTTGTCACATCTTCAAGTTTAAAGACTTAAATTACAATTAAACTAATGCTTAATTTAAATGAGCACTCATATACACAGACAGAGACATAGCACCATTATCATAAACAGTGCGGTCTAACTTGGTTTCACTCAGTCTTGTCCAGGAACAACTGTCAGCTCATTTCTATACCAGAGTGAAACCAAGTGAAGTAACTCTGATAGATCAATAATGAGTGTCACAAAACAGGACATCCACTAGAAATAAAACATAAATCTGTTTATCATAAGTTTCCTGTACATTGTACATAGTGTTAATACTGGTCATGCGGTTGTTGTACTGCTGTTCTTAACACAAAGGCAATCTTAATGCTTTATTATGTTAAAGCTGAATATACAGCAGACGACAGTAATTAAGTCAATGAGTGAATAGAATGATGCGTTTTTCTAATGCACAGCACATATTCATTTATCTTAATTTATTTCCATGGAAATTTCTATTTTATTGTTTTATTGAAGACAGGCATGATCACTTATCCTTCATCCTACTAGTTACATATTGGTTTCAAAACTAGTCTCCAAGCATGTCTTATATATCATTAATTCAACGGCTGTATAAACAAACTGATCTCATGTTTTGTCCAGTATCAATGGTCAATGGACACTTTCTTGTACTGTCATATCTAGGCAATTTAAAAAGTGAAATTCAGCCTTCGAAATATTATGACCTTAACAGACACATTTACGTCTATTTGAAAATGGCGAAGTCCTAAGGAATGACTGCCGTCTTATGTGACACAAGGAATTTTTAAAGAACCATTTACATGACTTGATATGCTTAATTAAGCTGTAGGTGAAGTTTGGTTTCTGTCTGTCGTGTTCACAGCACCGTCTTTTTAAAATACAAGCACGATTCAGACTTAAACAAACCCTTAAAGGGACGATATATATGCACAGTGATTCATTTCAATATAAGCATGACACTGGTATGTTTACTTTGCCATACAAAATCGTTTTCACCTGTGTCCATCCATCGACTTACCGGTAAAGAATTTCCAGAGCTGATTCGTGTTTGTCCACTGATTTAGATATCATTAAGTTTCTTAATTTACTAAATTCATTAAGCGCCTGGTTATAATCATCTGGGTCAGCTTGAGTAAAAGTATTCTGAATAAATGTCCTCAATGGTTTTACAAGTTCCACTTCCTGAGTCTGCTTCAGTGGGACAGCTAGAAACACCGCCATCTTGAAAATGAACTGTTTGGTCACATGGCTGTTTTCTATAAATAGATCCAAATGACGTATTCCGTGAATCAGCCTCACACTTCCTTGGTCACTGTCACGAAGTGATTTCGCATAGCTAATATTGGATCTGGGAGAAGGCCTCACCTCAATGGAATGAATCTGTCACTAGTTACACGTTCGTCTAGTTGCTATCATTATCCAGTATGATTTAGGACTAACCATGATATTGCTACATATGTAGACAGCAAACTTTATTAATAAGTTTATTCTGGTCGCTTTACTTTGATTAAAATTGAGCATCGTTAAACACGAAGCCAATGTTAAAGTCGTCAGTTTAGTTCGGTGTTAATCTCTATAAGTACACATGTGTATGTATACTCTTATAATCAAACCTGGAATATACTTGTACACATGACCATCCCAACACACATTTCAGATTCAGAATTACACCTAGTTTATCATGAATTGGACGTCATTAATTGATGTTTTATGCGATATTAAAGTGTTACGTTTAGCTTGGTGTTGAGCTATTTTCTCTCTAATTTGAAGTACACGTGCTGTATATACTTTTCATGACCACAGCATCACGGCCTCTACCCTCGGTTGCAGATTCTGTATTCTACCTACAATTTACCGTTAATTGTAGTTACTTAATTACACGATATTGTAATATAAATATTTGGCCAATCCTCATTACATGGACATGCGGGGACACGCGGGACATATTTATCCGTAGTTTATATATATATATGTGTGTGTGTGTGTGTTATATGTCTCTGATATATATAATCTATACCTATTTGAATTTTCTCAGTCGCCTCATGTTGCAGCGTGTCAAGAATTTAGGCCCTCTGTATCGCTGACGAGTTGACGAGAACGAAGCAGCATTTTTATTTGCTTATTGGATGTTATCGTTTTGGAATCTGAAGACGACCATTTTTCTTTTCACTTACGAAACGAAATTTAAAATAGAAGTGTCATTTTTAAGAGTGCCTTGAAAACCAGCAGGAGTTGTCTTTCTTTGAACATGCTGACCATTGCATATAGACGACAGCTGAAAATTCTTTAAGATCAAGGAAATAATGGGAAAACTACACACATACATACACACACACACACACACACACACACGCGCACGCACACTAAAGATTAAAAACTGAAGAAAGTTTAGACAAAAGGTTGTAATTAATAAAATGTATCATTACGCCATTGAGCTGTGTACGCTTTCGGGTTGTAATTAATTAAATGTACCATTATGTCATTGAGCTGTGTACTGTATCGGGTTGTAATGAATAAAATGTACAATTACGTCATTGAGCTGTGTACTGTATCGGGTTGTAATTAATAAAATGTATAATTACTCATTGAGCTGTGTACTGTATCGGGTTGTAATTAATAAAATGTACAATTACTCATTGAGCTCATTGAGTATAATTACTCATTGAGCTGTGTACTGTATCGGGTTGTAATTAATAAAATGTACAATTACTCATTGAGCTGTGTACTCTGTCGAGTTGTAATTAATAAAATGTACAATTACTCATTGAGCTGTGTACTCTGTCGAGTTGTAATTAATAAAATGTATAATTACTCATTGAGCTGTGTACTGTATCGGGTTGTAATTAATAAAATGTACCATTACGACATTGAGCTGCGTAATATATCGGGTTGCAATTAATAAACTGTACAGTTGCGACACTGAACTCTGGATTTAAGTAAACTATGCGAATACGAAACAGCTTGGACTCTACTGGGCAGTAATCACGTGGGCCCGGTTGCTGGCTTTTTCCGGTTAATGAGTCCTGTGTTATATAAGTTAATAACTACAGAATTATAAACCCAGTATTTACACACACTCTGAAACATAATGAAAATTTAGGATTTCGATATATCTCTATTTTTTATAAATCGATGCCCCAAATTTTCATAAGATTTCAGGGTGTGTATAAATACTGGATTTCTAGTGTTGTCGGCATTAACTGATGTCATACATGATTCAAAATCCAGAAACCGAGCCCCTGTGTACTTAGTAAAATGTAGGATTACGTCATTGAGTTGATGTCATACATGATTCGAAATACAGAAACCGAGCCCCTGTGTACTTAGTAAAATGTAGGATAACGTCATTGAGTTGATGTCATACATGATTCAAAATCCAGAAACCGAGCCCCTGTGTACTTAGTAAAATGTAGGATAACGTCATTGAGTTGATGTCGTACATGGTTAAAAATCCAGAAACCGAGCCCCTGTGTACTTAGTAAAATGTAGGATTACGTCATTGAGTTGATGTCATACATGGTTCAAAATCCAGAAACCGGGCCCCTGTGTACTTAGTAAAATGTAGGATTACGTCATTGAGTTGATGTCATACATGATTCAAAATCCAGAAACCGAGCCCCTGTGTACTTAGTAAAATGTAGGATTACGTCATTGGGTTGATGTCATACATGGTTCAAAATCCAGAAACCGAGCCCCTGTGTACTTAGTAAAATGTAGGATTACGTCATTGGGTTGATGTCATACATGATTCAAAATCCAGAAACCGGGCCCCTGTGTACTTAGTAAAATGTAGGATTACGTCATTGGGTTGATGTCATACATGATTCAAAATCCAGAAACCGAGCCCCTGTGTACATAGTAAAATGCAGGATTACGAGGTAACAGAACTCCGTCTGATTTCCGTAACGACAGTCATTATATACATAGTCGATTGTAATTACTGATAACTATAATTGGTTACGTGGTAACGTTAATTACATTTACGGATATAATTATCATAACCTTGATTATAGGACGATTGAAAGATACTGATTTCAAGAAGTGGTCACTTGACCTTACACTGACCACTACCATACATTTCAACCTTTCACAAAAACAGATGAAGATAAGAAAAGATGAATTATTTCCTGTGAGACAAGACGAGATTTTATAACTCTTTTTGTTCTTTCTCGTGTCCTTTGTCACATCTCCAAATAGCAATATTCAACACTAATGGCATTAAAAATGTTTTACATTTCACACAAACGTTGGGTCATTTAGCACGATATCATTTTTAATGATAGTTATCTCGAGCGCTCGACATGTTATCTCGAGCTCTCGACTTATCATTTCGAGCGCTCGACATCTTATTTCGCATACCAATGCAGATCTAAGTACATTACTTACCATCGATAGACACATGAAAGGATGACAAGACGAACTGTAAAGCGTCGGTTATCAGAGGAGAAAGGATTAAATGGCCAATAAGGCGTCGAGAAACGACATTAAAAATAAAAAATGGCCCATTTTCGTGGCGACATTTGAAGCAGTGTTAATCTACTTAGCATAGAAAAGAGATTGTCTGTAGATAAATATAAATACTAAACTAGAAATTGTTGTTAACAATTTGGCGGGCTTTTCACTTCTTTGGCGACAAGTTGACCGGAAGTTGACATTTATCCTGATAACGATATATGAGAAAGGTTCCTTGTTTGTTAGTCCATACAACATATCCAAAGATGAACTTTGAATCTTGAAATGTTAAGGAGATATAACTACATAATAAAGAAGAAATACACTTTTTAAAGGTTCAAACATATTTGACCCCTGTGACCTTGAATGTCGGTCAAGGTTATTCATATTTGCAAGCCTTATAATGTAACATCTGATGATCGATACATCCCCAATATTAGTTCTCTAGACCTTGTGAAACTTGACAAGAAGATTGTTGAACACTGGTACCCTATTTTGTATATTTGAACTTTGACCCCTTTAAGAAACCGGAAGTTGACATTTTGAGGGAAGTTTTCCTTATGACAATCACTAGGAAGTCTGCACAGAAGGTTTATAATCAATTTTCATCATTGTATGCCTTCTAGAAAGTGAGAAACTGTCATTTAACGATTTTTAGTTAATTGACCTCTGTGACCTTGAAAGTGGGTCAAGGTCATTTATATTGTCAAACTTTGTTGCCAGTTACATATGCTTCATATACGTGAAATATAAAGCCTCTAGGCCTTTCAGAACTTGAGAAGAAGTTTTTCAAAGATTGGTACCCTTAATAGCAGTTTTCAACTTTGACCCCCTACCGCTAACCGGAAGTTGAATTTTGAGGTAGGTTTTTCTTATATCATTCGACAGGAAATGTCCACAGAATATTTATGTCCAAAGTTGAAGACTTTGGGCAGATTAACAAAGGAGAAATTACCATTTGACGATTTTTACATAATTGACCCCTGTGACCTTGAAAGTGGGTCAAGGTCATTTATATTAACAAACTTGATAGATAATTGATTAGACATCTTACACATGAAAGATGAAAACTGAAGGCTTTGCAGAACTTGAGAAGAAGTTTGTCAAAGTTTGTAACTTAAAATAACACTTTTGAAATTTGACCCCTACTAAAGACCGGAAGTTGACCTTTGATCCCAGTTCTTTTCTTGTGAAAAGTGTTTTCTTATTAATTTACGTAATATGTTTAAAACTGAGGTCACTAGCTTGAACAGTTCTTGAGTTACGGCATTTTAGGTAAAATCGGATATGACGTCATGGCGGCCATTTTGTTTTTCTGATGATTTTGTAAATGACCCTAAATGGTAGAGGACATCTGGGGAAACCTTTCTGATATAAATTATTACAAAAAAAGCCTGTTGGTAAAGATCTAGATCGAGTTTTTCCAAATTGTCGGCATTTTTAAAAGATCAAAGGAAATTTTCAAAATGGCATACAACGAAAGTGGTAAACGTTACAGAAAAACTAAAATCACTAAATTCATCGGAAGGACATTCTGCATCGATGTGTTAAAGAAATTTTCAAGAAAAATCAAAATTGAAAAAAAAAGTTTTGTTTTCAAATTTTCAAATATTGACCCCACAGCGAGCTTTTTTATTAGACATATTTTGTAGTATAATGGCATGGGGAAAAGTTAGATAAGGAAATTGTCTACAAATAACATACCTGGACGAACTCTGTACACTCAACGGTTTTCGAGTTACGGCCGTTTTAAAGTTTTTAACTTATGA